CTTCCTTCTGAACCTTTCCCATCGTATGTAATCGTACGGAAATGGCTTGCTGCGTAACGCCAAGCTGTTCTGCAAGCTCCTTTTCAGTTTGCGCAGAGTTTATATCCAGCAGTGCTTGCAATTCGTCCGTTTCAATCTTTTCAGGGCGTCCAGCACGCGATTCATCTTTAAGACTGAAATCTTCTTGGTGAAACTTTTGATACCATCTTTTACATGTAGTATGACTTACAGCGTTCTCTCCATATGCAGCACAAATCATTGCAGTGGCTTCAGCAGCATTTTTCTTCAGATGAAACGCGAAGTGGATGGAAAATCGAATATGCTCTTTTGTTATTGCCATCGTGAACGCTACTGATTTTTGAGGTTATGTGCATCAAACCGTATGGCATTTTAGAAGGCCAAATGTTAACGCTTCAAAACCGCAACAGGGCGGGAAGATATATAAAATTTATATTGAAATGTAGCAAGAGGTTATGGCTTAGTGAAGGTGCATAAACCGGGCAACCCTTTGAGGATCATAATTTCATGTGTTGGCAGCCCATTATATTCTATCGCTGCATTTTTACATAATATAATTCATAATAATACTACAACAGCAGCGAGTTATGTTAAAGACAGCTTTGAATTAGTTAATAGATTGTCCGATATACATATTGATAGTAATTACAGTCTTATTTCACTGGACGTCATTTCTTTGTTTTCGAATGTTCCCCTTGGTTTGGCATTGGAGAGCATTAATAAGAGATGGTGTAACATTTCAATGGGTTGTAACATCCCCAAAAATGAATTCTTTACGTCTCTTCAATTAATTTTTTATTCAACTTACTTTGTTTTTGATGGGGTTTTTTATAAACAAACATATGGTCTGCCTATGGGATCTCCTTTATCTCCGGTGTTGGCGGATTTAGTATTGCAAGATTTGGAGAGTAGAGCATTAGAGACTCTAAAATTTGTTTTACCATTTTATGTCAGATACGTTGATGATATTGCTACGGCTGTACCATCGGATGCGATAGATGAGATCTTAGATGTTTTTAATTCATTCCATAGTAGATTGCAATTTACTATTGAAATTGGTGATAAATTTTTAAATTTTTTGGATGTTAACATCAACATTAATAATGAATTCCTCGAATTTGATTGGTATCATAAACCGACTTTTTCGGGAAGATACTTGAATTTTTTATCTTCACATCCTTTGTCACAAAAAAGAGGTGTGATTTTTGGAATGATTGACCGAGTCTTTTTCTTATCGCATCCGAGATTCCATCAGAGAAATATAATTTCTGTGATTGACATTTTACTGAATAATGATTATCCATTGGATTTTATATTTAAGACAATTAACTTACGTCTGAAATCACTCTTTTATAATCAAACGATGAAACAGAACAATGTGAATTCTAATGACACAAGGGACGAAATGAAACCATGGATTACTTTGCCGTACATTCCGCAAATTTCTGACAAATTCATGAATATTTTTAATGATGTGAACATCAGATTATCTTTTTACAGTCTCAATAAATTGAATAAATATATTAAAGTTCACAAAGATGTAATTCCGACTAACTCAAAAAGAGATGTTGTATATCAAATTACTTGTAAGGATTGTGATGCAACCTCTGTCGGTCAGACAAGTAGAAAATTACAAACTAGGATTTTAGAACATCATATTAATAGGAACACGACCACACAATCGGTTATTACAGAACATAGGTTGGAACACAATCATGAATTTGATTGGTCGAATGTTAGAGTATTGGATACAGAGAGATTTTTGAGCAAGCGCTTGATATCAGATGATTTACATTAAACTACAGAAAAATAGCTTGAATTGCCAATCTGACATCGAGTACCTAAATAATGCATTTATGAAGATTATTAATAATCTTTGAGGTTTATTTGTTATTTCATTCAACGTTCTTTAGGTTTATTTTCAATATATGATCATTACATGTATATTAGTCTTTAGTTTTCTCCTTATCTGTTGACAAATTACGATGACATGTACATCTTATATGTTGTTTCTTAACGATTCTGACTTTCATAGCGATAACATTTTCGTAATTTAATCCGAATTTTTCTTTGTTAATAATTTTAAACCAGTGATATTTAAAGCCCTTTTTGCGTTCTTACCTGCAGGTGAGTTATTTAAGTGTATTTTTTGTTGATTACACCTTTCAATACAAAAATTTCAGCTTATTGAATAAGACTCATTCTATCTTAGGATATGTAATTTTACATTACATCTTTGTCTTGGTAACAAATTGATTGGATGAAACTTACATCAGAGCGACTACTCGATCTGTGGCTAAGATTGCAAGGAGATCTTTACGTTTGTATAACGTGCGAAACTTAGATGTATTACGCTGAAGATTGCAAGGAGATCTTTACGTTTGTATAATGTGCGAAACTTATATGTATTACGCTGAAGATGGCCCAAAGTGCGGCCGAAACGTTCGAAATTTGTGAACATTGAATTATTTAAATACATTTATGTAAGAATTTACTATTATTAATTCTTTACTGTTTTTATTGCGCACCGATTACCGCGCCTGACTCTCATTTGCCTTATTGACATAGACTATTGAAAACTCGAGAGTCATAAGAATTTACTTATTTATTTAAAATTTATATTGTTATTTCGGTTGTGTGAAATCTAAAGCTCAGAACTTTTTTGTACACCTAATACAAATAAAATTATTTATTCCAATTTTATCAAGAATTTCGTAAAGGAAAAAATGGTCACTTCAATTATCCATTACATACTGGCCGTTTTAGGTTTGCATTTGTTAAGCATAAGTTTTTTCAATACATGTTCTGTATTTGAAAATGATATGTCCCACTCAATACAAAACTGGTACAATCCTTTTTGTATAAGCATCCATAAATGCTTACTAGCATCTGGATAGTCTATTTTCAATACGTGGAAAACTTTGAAACAAATATCTAAAGCTTCTAATGTAGATTCTGTTGAATACAAAACTTCATCAATGATGACGTATGAGTCGGACACATTTGTAATTGATCCCACAACTATCACATAAGGTTGTACAGATATTTGCATTTTTTTTGTTTTATCCCTAGCTTCTTGTCGAATCTTTGTAATATCAGCCCAAGTCTATAATCAAATTTTGAGTTAATTAAAACATTACATGTAAGTATTTAATTAAAAACTTAGGATATTAATATACTAACATTTATATATTTTATCATACTATCTCTTGACAAAGCAATGGATGCTTTACAGCCCTTTTTTGTTACAGTGTCTTTGATGTTCTGTTTCGGAGGTATCATGTATGAAAGAAGTTGTATTGTAATCGCTAATTTGGAATCTATAGGAAACAAAAAAATCATTAAATTTTAATCAAACACATTTATATTGTATATAGTGTAATGTAATAGTAATATAAGTATATAATATATTAAATATTGTACCTTTAGATATATCTAAATTTAATGTTTCTATTAAATCTGGAAAATCATTATTTTTATTCGTAAATTGTACATTTTCTTTGATTGTATTAAAAAACTTATTCCATTTCTTTGAAGTTAAATAAAAATTTGTTAAACGCATTTGATCAAAATCGTATTTAATAAGTTTATATCCGTATGGATGTTTCAAAAGCGGCCATTCTTCAAATATGTTACTCAATATTTTATCAGATGATTTCATTAATACTTGTAATCGATATTTAGAAGTTAAAGACCATTTTTTCAAAACTATCTCCCAAGGCGCTTGGTTGGTTTTTAACCAGTTTAGAGCTCTTTTAACGTTTTCATTGTTCACTAAAAGTATAACAATTATATAATATTTCTTTGCAAGCACATTTGTCTATTAAATTACCTACCGTCCTCATCAGAAGAATTATCAACAATATTACTTTCAGATTCTTGCAATGATTTTCCTTTTAATTTTAATAAAGCATATTTTCTATTGCGCCAACACGATAACAGTTTGCCTCTCGCAGCTATTGATTTCTTATTCGGAGTGTGGATCTTTTTTTGTCCTTCTATAAAGTAGGTACCTTCAGCTTCAGAAGGAAATATTTTAACGATTCGTTCTGAAATGCCTTTGGCTATTCCATTTGTCATACTGTAAAAATTAGTACGATATATTATTAAGTTGTGAAGTTATTAAAATAACGATAAATTCTGCAAGAAAATAATATTTACAATAACATTGGAGATACATACACAATGTTATGATCTTCCATATAAGTGACAATTATATTGCACAACTTATTTCTCATTGATCCACTTAGTTCATTATTCTTACAACATAGAATTATTCTACCAATTTTTGATTGTTGCAATAATTCCTCAACGTTGGGTATTGTGTCTAATAAAAATTTATCTTCAGAAATAGACGTATTTCTTTGGTATAATATTTTGCTTTTATTATTATTTTTACAATTACTCGTCTCTTGTATTGAACTTTGAAATTGTCCATAATTAATGTTAGCTGAATATGTGCTATTTTCCATGTTCTAAAAAACACAAAATTTATGGATTTTATTTGTTTTAATGCTACAATCATGCTATTTCGTTAGGATTTATTATTCTTTTATATTATTAGAGTTAATAAGACCTTGTTTATTTTTTATAGCTTAATAACAGAAAACAGAAAGAAAAAATAAGTACAAATTTTTAGTAAAAGCAAGTATGGCTTCAAAAATCTCTTTTACAATTTTTTAAAGAGTTAAATGTATTTAAGTATGTAATAATACTCAATATTAAAAGAAATGTACTTTCCAACACGCCACATGCCATACATATTTCATATTAAAATATAATAATAGTAAAGTTAGCTTTTCTTAACGTAATTTTAATTATAATTTAATATAATAATCAAAAATGGGTGAAAAACGATAAAATGAAAAATATATGTTGCTGACAAAGATTTTATACAAATACACAAGATAATTAAACGTCTCAAACAGAATATTTATTAAATATTTAACAAAATTAATTTTATTTAAATTATTTATTTCAGAAAGTAATCCAAACAAAATAGCAATATGAATGGAACATTTGTTAATGTAACCTACATTAGTGTTTGTATCTGAACTTGTACTTGGTTCTTGTTTTTTTAAAAAGTTTGTTTTCCAGTACGTTATAAAAACGATACGTGGACCCACTTCTGGAATAAGTTCAGCAATTAATTTTTCATTTAAATCTTTCATTAACTCCATTGTGATTCCGTTTTCTTTAATTAAAAAATAAATAAAATTAATATTAACAAATTTTTCAATTATAAAACATGAAATTATTTTCGAATGTTTGTTATACGTAGAGAAAAGATAATCTTTTAAAATACTATTAATTAAACTTACTTTCGAAAACAGTAGCATAAGCAGCTAAGCCCAATTGTTGCAAAACATTTATAACTTCCATATTTTCGTAAAATGTTCACTTTACATGTAAAGTTATAAACAATACGTTTGGCAATATAATGTATGACTGCAGAAAAGATATATATGTGAGAAGGTATAAAAAAAGTAATAATTCAAATAATATGGTACATACACGATTTCGTCACACACAACACATTTTTAGGCTGATCTAATCTACAATTTTTTACTTTATCTAATGTTGTACAGCTAAAACATTTCTAAGCCAGGATCCCACGGCGCGTGGTTCGCCATAATTCGTGACTTGGTTCATTTATGCTTGTCATAAATTCTACTTTCGAATTGATAAAAAACAGATTAAAATCGTGGTTCCACGGTGCATAGAGACGCCAGGCCATGATCTTCAACGAAATTATCATGGTTTGGCGACTACGCGCCGTGAAACGCGGTTTTAACCTGGTTTTTATTCTTATCAATTCGAGAGCCGAACTTGTGATGGGTTTTGAAGAGCTAAGATAAAACTATTTACGGCGTGTAGAAGTTCGCCGAGACAAGTTTTGACTACCTTCTAGTGGGACAAGCCACCCGTCATAGCACCCTATATGGATACCTTCCAACAAGCGACTCAATACAATACAGTGATTATCTTATCCTTGTTTAATATTGACGAGCAACAAGAGTGTAATGATGCACTGTGTCACACCGTGTTTCATGTTTCTTGTTGGAAAGCATCTTTTATAGGGCGTCGAAATCATCAAGCCAAATTTCGAGTCGAACCTCGAGACGTAAACATTTCGGCAAATATTTGATACACGACACAAGACAATGAAATACTCGAAATTTGAAATTCGGCTCGCAATTTAGCTCGATAAACTGGACGCATTTTTTAATTACATGCAAATATTATGAATAATGTACACTTACTGTGTAGGCTTCTCAATGTGATTATTAACTTCGCGCAATATTTCCACACGTCTAATTGTTGTTGCGAAGAAGGTTCAGTTGTAGACACACATAATACGTACGAACGTGTCCAGCATTTGTGGCGGAATGGTAAGAGAAAATCAGGAAAAGAAAATCGTATCGTACGATGCGCGCGCTTACATTAGAAAAGCGATAAAATGATTGGCTATCGCGTTTCTCTCTACTTGGCAGTTGCCTGACCCACGACAAGCGTTTCCATGTGCAAAAACAATAAGTAATCTTAAATATAAAAGCAACGTTCTTATTTCTAAATCGTCTTAGGTTCTGCATATAATGAAAGAATATTAAGTAACAGAAATAGGAATCAGAATTTTAGAATCAGTTTTCTCAATGAACACTATATCCAAATAAATAGTTAGACCCTGTATTGCAAATTCTTACAAGAAAAATTCTTGTGAGATCTTCCAAGAGAATTTCACATACGAATTTCAAACAGGAACATACAAGATCGTATAAGAATATATCGCATACGATA